TACTTTCTTACATGCTCCCTGCTAGCTGGCCCTTCAGGGATTACCGTAGCCAAGCGATTCCGCTACGGTTTTCTGCTGGTTTGCCCTCGCTGGGTTATGCTGTCCGCTGTCTCTCTCCCTTTAAAGCTATTCCAAGTTCCGGCCAAAGCAAGCCTAAGCCTAAGCCAAGGTTATGGTCTTCAAGGCTAAACTTAAACCAAGCTCAAACCAAGGCCTCCTCTCCATTTGAAATCAGCCCCTTTCCTTGAAATTTGCAATTTCCCACCCAGCATTTCACGATTCCCAAAAATGTTGGTTGAGAGCCAGGCGGTGCCCCTGGTCAGTGCCAGGCCGAACCCCCTCCCGGCCCCTTTTTTGTTGCTTTTTTGGGGGCGGGCAATCGCCGCGGGACCCACCCGCTGACCACTCCCTCACTGGCTGCGCTCTCTCCAGGCGAGAGAGGGAGAGGTGTTTACGTGGCCGATGCTCTTCACGCTGACGCTTCGGAATAAATTGGCTTCCGGCCAATGATCAGCTCAAGGCGGAACCGGGACTTCTGGAGGGTTTAAAGGGGTCAAGAAGTCAGCAATACTTTACTACTTTACTACTTTACTTTTTTTGGCTTTAAAGGGACAGGTAAGCCTGGGATCCATAGAGTTGACACCTTAAGTGACAAGGCTAGCAGGTTGCAAGTGGATTTTCTATTCTAAGCCAACCGGCAAGTGAGAATCTCGTAGATGCGACGCTTTAAAGGTACAGGCAAGTCCAACCGCCATAGGAGGACACTTTAAAGATATGGAAGGTGGTAAATTTTCAGAGGTGGCACTTTAAAGGCACTTGTAAGTCTCAAATCCATAGAACAATAAATTTAAAGGCACTGGGAAGTCCTTAAGGCCTTCTGACTATTCCTTAAACTGGCCTGGCTACCGTATCCAAAGGTGCTAATTCCTCAATTTTCCCCCTGCAGCGGAAATGGGGAGCGCCGCGTACCTCGATAGGAAATTGGACTGATGAAGGCTTTTTGCTTCCCGCCAAATTCAACATGGATAATCTCTTTATGAAAATTATAGGAATTTGTTCCCAAATTCCCAAATGATCTATGCTAGCCTGCTAGCCTTTTGGGTGGCGCTATTTAAGCTGTCGGCATTTTAGCTTATCGGTATTTCTGCTTTCGGTTTTGTGGCGGATCGTAAATTTCGGTATTTTGGAAAATGCACAGTTGTCTTTGCTAGCCCTATTTTTAATAGAATTTTCGCGTTTTGGTTTGTCGGTATTATGGGCTGTCGTATCTTTTTCGGCAGTCTGGCTTGTCGGTATTAAATCGCGGTTTTTTGTTGCATGTCGCCACTTTGGTTTGCGGATATTTACGGTGTCGGTATTATCGCGTATTTAGATGTCGGTATTTTCTCTAGTCAGTGGCCCCCTCAAACATTTTTCCAGAGTTATTTTGTACTTTTCCAAAAGCCCGCTGGGGGTTGGTTGGCTGTGGTTGGGTGGTGGTGGTGTTCCGGGGGGTGCCGCGTGGTGGCCGACGGTGCCATCCCCCAAACGGCCGGCCGGCGGATGATGTACAACAAGGAGAAGAGGAGAGAGAAGGGGAGGGGCCACGCAGCACCACAACCACCCCCCGTCGACGACGTGCTGGCCAAGGCAATGCCCACAGGGGGGAGTAGCTGCACATACAGCACTACTATACGATACGGGGGAGTGTGACATGATATAGGTGGGGCACAGGCTTGGGGCCGGGCTTACTGTTTTAAAGGGAGGGTGACAGCCAGCTAGCCTGGCTAGACAGGACTTAAAGGGATCGTGCCACCAAGTTAAAAGGAATTTAAGGGTTTAAAGACATGGTGGCAGCACGCTGTTTTTAGGACAACCCTCTCTCTCGGTCTATTTCTCTCGCTCTCTCTCTGTCTCTCTCTCTCTCTAGCATTCTCTCTCCCCATCTTCTAGCAGTTCAAGCATTAGGGAAGGAGTGAAGAAAGAAAAGCAGCATCTTTCATGTCCTATCTGAATTTCCATTTCTCGATACGACTTATGAGCATCATCTCCAGGCAGTTCACTCGCCCTCTCTCTCTCTCTCTCTCTCTCTCTCTCTCTCTCTCTCTCTTACTCTCACTCCCTCACTCTTTCTGTCGCTTTCTCTCTCTATCTGGACTTATCGATCCCTTTAGACCCATCAAATTCGGTCTAATGTAAGTACGATCCCGGTCTTTAAAACCGACATTCCACGACAAATATTTTCCGCAATTAGCATGCGAAAATGTTCCAAAAAGCTGCTGATAACAGCCCAATTAAATTATGGCCAGCACCCCATCGAAAAACTGCTCACCGCACACGAAAAACAAGGCCCGATGTTCGGCTACCGTACCCCGCAGGCCAGGAAATTGTAGCGGTTTTTGTAAAACATTTTGGCCTCCCACATCTCCTACCCGGCCTGAAAAACATGTTTTTTGGAGTGTGTCGTTGCGCTTGTTGCACCTCCCGCTAATCGAGTGGTCAACGTTTCGACCAATTAGGGAGAGGGGGACCACGCTGCGCAACTTGTTGACGCTTCAGAATTCGGAGAATCGGGGAGCGGAAATATGGGTGGGGGTTTCCTAAAGTTTTGTCTAATCTTTGGAGCTTTGGAGAGAGAAAGAGAGGGAGAGAGAGAGAGAGAGAGAGCTTGAACTGCTTGGATATGTGGCTCAAAAGATCTAGCGAAGGAAAGAAGGACATTTAGCCAGTAGAAGATGCCCGCTCTACTTTTCCAATTTCTTCTAATTTTTGAACTGCTCGAAGTTGTGGGTATATCAGAGATAGAGAGGGAGCAGCAATTTGGCGTTAGATAGAAAGGCGTCTAAAAAATGTCTCTAAAATTGATGTCTCTATCTACGGCTACCTGACTGTGTGAACTGCTCGAAGATGATGGACGCGGTTCAAAGGAGAGAGAGAGAGAGAGAGAGAGAGAGAGAGAGAGAAAGAGAGAGAGCGAGAGAGAACGAGAGAGAGAGAGAGAGAGAGAGAGAGAGAACACACTCCAGGCGTCATCCCTTGAGTTTTGGCGTTGAACTGCTCGATGATGAGGCTCGAAGACCGTCAACGACTAGGAATTTCAACATGCGATCGACCGAGAGAAAGGTCAACTACATGCACTACATACACTCCCCTTGAGCTGTCCCTTCCATTAACACCTGAACTGCTCGGACACGCTGGCCGGTCCGCACTTTCTGATCCCCAGCTGCTTTTTTCTGCAAAATCAAGTGCCCAGCTATTGTTCATGATCCGTGTTGGGCAAGCGGGTTCGAGTTGTGTCCGTTGGTCTGTGTGTGGAGGGGGTGAGAGAGCGGGTGAGAATGAGAGACATTGGGTAGTGGGCAGTGGCAGTCGGTGCCTGTCGGTCCCTTCCTCCTCCTCAACACACGCCCCCTTCCCCTCTTTTCCATTCCCTTCTTCCATTCCACAACCCCTCCCCCCATTTTCCCCCCAAATACATACACACAGCCAATGTCCAGCATAACCTGGAGATGATCAGCCTTTTCAACCTGGTCAGCCGGTCAAGCGATATTTATTTTGTTGGCTTACTTCATGATGTTAAAAGATTACGCCATCAATGTACTCTTTCGATCCTCTCTATGACATACCGTACTTAGTACCGTATCGTATTCCTTTTAAAGGACCTTGAAAGTCTAACTTTCTTTTCATTATGGAATGATATTAATAGATTACGACATCAATTTGCTCTTCCAGCGCGATGTTGCATACCGCATCCTGTATGTCTTTTAAAGGGAGTGTGACATTCTCATTTTGTGTCCATTACGCCATGATATTAATAGATTACGCAACCAATTTTCTCTTTGAACAGCTCCGATTTTATACGGTATTCTCTCGTACTCATTTTAAAGGGAGCGTGACGTGCTGATTATTCGGCTATGAGACCGATAAATTGCACACTATTTATTTCTCTTTCCATCTCCAAGGCCTACCGTATCGCACCTCTTTTAAAGGGAGCGTGACCCCCTGGAATTTTTTAATTTTGTGATGCTGGCAGCATATTGAGCTTTGCGCTCTCTCTCCCCCTCTCTCTCTATCTCTCTCGCTATCTCTCACTCTCACTCGCTCTCTCTATCTCTCTCACTCTCTCACTCTCTCGTGCTATCCCGGCGTCGTTATTTCGCTGGATTTTTGCCTTCACTTCCCCTTTAAAACTTAAAAAACAATTTTGCCTGATCCCAGGTATAACCAGCGACACGTGTGCGCGCGCAGGATAGACAATATTGTCAGCAGTTCAGATCATTCAGTCGCGTTCTCTCGCTCTCTCTCTCCCTCTCTCGCTCTCTCTCTCTCTCTCTCTCCTCTCGCTCTCTCTCCCACTCTCTAGTCTGGGGGGTTCCATTTTTTTTGCGAGGCTGTTTACTATTTTCGCACATCTCTTTTGGACTGGGCCGGCTGTGTGGAGAGCCCTTTTTCGGGACTCTGGAAGGGGCGAGAGAGGGCACAAATAGGACTCCGATCTCGCCATGCGTTCCCCTGTTTTTGTCGCCTCGAATTTTTTGTGGTTCGGGCGTCTGGTTGATGGTCATTTTTGGGGTTGACCAGCTGGCAATGCCTCGATTTTTTGTGTGAATTATTTGGTTTTATGGAATTTCTTGTGATCTCTCACTTGTTGTCTCTCTCTCCCTCTTTCTCTCTCTCTCTCTCCCTCCCTCTCTCTCCTCACCCCCAATTTCTGATCCTCCCAAGCAAAAAATGAAAAGCAGAAGTACATTTCCAGATAAGACGGCCGCGATCAGCCGTCCGGCGCGAGAGAGTGAGAGACGCCGAGAGAGAGAGAGAGCGATAACAAACATAACCATTTACCCGAATAAGCATGACCACCTTGGAACAGACGGCCACGATTGGCCATCATCAGACAATATTGGAGGATAGTGTCAGGGTTTGTCTCTCACTCACTCGCTCACTCTCTCTCTCACTCACTCGCTCTCTCTCGTACCCTCTTTCTCGATATCTCGCTTAAGCCTAAGCCTCGTTTTTAGACAATGTCCGACGACGAAGAGCTCGACGAGGAGATGCTCCTCGACGGCGACGACGAGCCGGAGATGGACGAAGAGGAGGAAGAGATGGAGCTCCTCCGCTCAGAGGGCATCGTTGACGCCCTCGAGGAGAATATTCGCCGCGATTTCGCGCTTAAGGTACCGTACCCTTTGCAAAGTCCTATAGCTCCAAATTCCCTAACTTTATTTTTTCGTTTTTAGGCGCTGGCGGACATTACGCTTGGCGGGCACCCAAACAATTCGCCGAATAACACGACTACAGACGAGGTTTGTGGTTTTGAATTAATTTTTGGTCCCGAAATTCCGCATTGCTCCAAATTTCGTTTTGCTCGTTCACTGGAAGACTTTTCTCGGGTTTAGAAAACCGGCTTTTCGCTCTCGCTCTCTCTCTCTCTCTCTCTCTCTCTCTCTCTCTCGCTCTCTCTCTAACTCTCTCGCTCTCATCTTTCGTTTTTCCTCCTTTTTTCTAATTTTGACTCTTGATCGCTTAAAAATTACGTAGCTAGAAAATTCGAGAGATAGAACGCGGCCCAAAGATAAATTCCAAAAAAATAATTCCGCATAAACAAGGCAAACTCTCGAGAATTCGCGTATGTGTTTGTGCCATCCTTTTTCGCCCTTTTCTCCCCCTTTCCTCCTCCCTCGCCCCAACCTTGTTTGCGTCCAATTTTTTGCAGCCCACCGAAAAAAGAGGAAAAGTGGACAGACAGAACAGACCAGAGTGACCAGTTGTTTATCCCGAAAAATTGTGTTCTCTCTCTTTCTCTCTCTCGCGCTCTCTCTTTCTCTGACGCTCTCTTTCAACAAAGATAATGACGGAAGAAGCATGCAATTGCAAGGAAAATCTCGCTGTAAGGGTTGTCCAGCGGAAAATCGGTTACCAAAACGATCTTTTTAACTTGAATGGCCCTTTAAAAGCGCAAATTTGATGAGCGTAAGAGTTGTCAAGCGGAATTTACCATTTCCGGTTAGGCTAAAGCTTAGAAACGTGCGTCTGCTTAAGCTTAGGCACGTGCTCAGACTTGTGCTCAGGCTCAGGCTCAGGCTTACCGTCCCGTCCCGTTACCCGTCCGTTTAAGGGTGACTTTTAGGTGTATCGCGTAGCTTTTTTGAGAGTTGCAGCTTTTCAGAAGCTATAGTTAGTGAGAGAGAGAACGAGAGAGCAATAGAGAGTGCGAGAGGGGGAGAGCGAGAGTTAGAGCAAGAGAGAGCAAGAGAGCGAGAGCAAGAGCGAGAGAGAGAGCGAGAGTTAGTGAGACCTACTGGTGTTGGGGGGTCTGGCCCGGTGCCAGGCCGGGGAATGGTGTCGTTCCGTAAAAGTGCACATTCCCGGTGTCGGGCCGTGTTCCCCTTCGCTCCAACCTCCTCTCCGCCGGGGCGACAGACACCGATACCGCCCCGCTTGCTGCTGCTGCTGCTTTTTTTGTCGTGTTTGACCGACCGGGGCGGCCCGGAGGGGATGACCCCCGTCCCGAAATGCTGATAGTATACGGGCGGAAAAAACGCAGGGGAAGGGGGATGTTTTTGGAGCCTAGAATAACTGTGGAGGCATAGGCTTGGGCTTAGGCTTAGGCCTGCCTTAGGCTTAGGATCAGGCTTAGGCTAATGCTCAAACTTAGTTTGGGCTTAGGCTTAGGGAGCGACAGACAGAGAGAGAGGGAGAGAGAGAGAGAGAAAGAGAGAGAGAGGGAGAAGGAGGGAGAGCAAGGGATAGATACACACCCTTCCCCAATTTCCAGAAAATTTTTTACCAGAAAATTACTTTCAATGCCCTAAAAATCAACTCCCCGTGGCTACAAATGTTTTCAAAATTTTCCTGGCGTTCCAATGGCTTGTCCGAGTTGGCTAGTGCCACCCAATTAAAATATATTTTTGGGCTGTGTTTGGGGGTGTGTGCGTTCGAGATTTCGGGATGATGGTGTCAAAAAGCGGAAGAGAGAGAGAGAGCCCGAAAAACGGCTGGATGGCACGGGCTGGCCCCGGGGCTGCCACCGCCCGATTTTTTTCTCTTCGCTCTTCCCGCTGACCACTCGGACCTTTTCCCGGGGGGCCCTGGGATGAAATGAGGAACTTTTTGGAGGGATTGAAAATTGACCCCCGGGAATCCGGAGCAAAAGACCAAAAACCGATGTCGTACCAAAAACCCATGTCGTACCAAAAACCAACTTGGGTTGGCTTGGCTTAGCTTAGGCTTAGCTTGGGCTTAGCTTAGGCTTAGCTTAGGTTTAGCCTAGGCTTAGCTTAGGCTTAGCTTAGGCTTAGCTTAGGCTTAGCTTAGGCTTAGCTTAGGCTTAGCTTAGGCTTAGCTTAGGCTTAGCTTAGGCTTAGACTTATGTCCGAAAGCCGTAAAAAGTCGTCATTATAATTGTATATGTTTTACACTGATTTTCCGCCCGCAAATCCACTCAAAGCCGCGCCCGAGCCGAGCAGGGAATTCAACCCGAAAAAGCACATTTTTCACCCCTCAATGCTATGCGTTCAACAAAGACAATCCGGATGACTGCCCGGGAAAATCTGCCCAGGTGGCCATCGGTCAACGCTAATCTTAAATAAAATAAAACCGAAATTATTCGGGCCCGGGGGAAATTTGATGTTGCGCGTGTTGAAAAAGGACGAAACGATTCTGCAGAATTTGTTAGTTTGGTAATTGGATTAATTTGTCGGGGAAACGGCTCGAAAAGGAGAAATTCGGCGAATTCGACAAGTTTATGAAAATCTGAGGGGCCGAGTTGGAGTGGAGGTACTTTGAATTTATCGGGGGGGAGGGCAAATTATCGTTTAAGTAGACTTTAGTTAACAACGCAAAAAAATTCATTTTTAACAATTTATAAGTTTCCAGTTTGATTTTTTGTTGGTTTAAGGCTTAGGCTTATGGTTTTCGTGTCGTTTCTCCCATTTTCTGACCTCAAAAAAAAACGTTGTAAACACTTCAAAGCCGATCCAATAAAATGCAACAAACAAGAGAACGGCATCACCCGGGCAGGAATTTCTCCCCTTTTTGCGCTCTGATCTCTCGCGATGTTTACCCCAAAAACCAGAAAAAGTTCCACGTTTCCCCCAATTATGCAGCTCTCAGTTTCTGAGTTGTTTGATATCATGAAGAGCAAAGCAGAATTCACCGCTAGTTTCCGCCAATTTCTGCGCGCGAAATTGGGCCGACCAAAGCAGAGGTTTAGCGAAAAATGTTGCAATTTAGCCGGGAGGGAGAGGGCTCAGAATACGCGTTCGGAAATGGGTGTAAAAACAGACTGACGCGGATTTGGGAGGTTGGAAAAGTTTAGGAACCGATTGAGGAGTTAAAATTATGCAAAATTGGAGCTATCTCTCTCTCTCCCTCTCGCTGTTGCTCTTTTTCACCCTTTCTCGCTCTCTCTCTTTCTCAGGCACTCTCTCTTCCTCACGCCCTTTCTTTCTCACGTTCTCTGCTCTCTCTCTTCTCGCTCTCTCTCTCTCTCTCTCTCTCTCTCTCTCTCTCTTTCTGCCCTAAAAACACTTGAGCAAGTCATTTGTAGCGGCTTTAAAGAACTAGTAAAAAATTATCTCTCGGTTCTACTTGTCTCTCTCGACCCTTATCTATCGCTCATCTTACAGGATGACTCGTCCTCATCATCAGTTGATGGCCACCGATTCTCAGCCGGCTCCCTCAGCCCCCCAAATCACAGTGTCGACAGCCCGCCCAGCAGCAGCGAGGTACAAAACCCTAGAAATTAGAGTACCCTCCCCCTAGCTTTCCTCCTCCGGCTCCTTCTCCGCCGGCTCCACAAAAAGCAAATCTTCCTCCACCCGGCCGGCCCACGAGAAGAAGCACAAGTGCAATACTTGCGGAAAGGTAGCCAGATTCCAAAAGATTTCTGTATCATTAATTACAGGCATTTTCCTACCTGTCAATCCTGGAAAGCCACAAGCGATCGCACACCGGGGAGAAGCCGTTCAACTGCCGGTTCTGCGACAAGAAATTCGCGCAAAAGGCCACGCTGCAGGTGCACGAGAGGACGCATACTGGGGAGAGACCGTAAGTTTTTTGGGGTTTTGGCGGTGTTAGGCTTAGCCTTAGGTGAGGCTTATGATTCGCTAGGCTTGGCTTAGGCTACATTAGGCTTAGCTTAGGCTTAGCTTAGGCATGGCTTGGATGCGGGCTTAGGCTTCGGTTTGCTTAGGCTTAGGATAAGGTATATACTTTGCGTAGGCTTAGGCCATGGCTTAAGCTTAGCCTTGCTTAGCGCTGGCTCCGCGTGACTAAAGCTTAAATTAAGCGTAAAATCATCCTTACCGTATAATATTCCAAACAAAAACCTCCCATTTCCAGATACAAATGCAAATACTGCGAGAAGACGTTCGCCCAGTACGGCACGAAGACGGTGCACGAGAAGAGCGCCCACCTCGGCATCAGAAACTACAAGTGCCCGCTGTGCGAGAAGAACCTGTCGTCGCCGTCGGCCCTCTACACCCACAAGAAGACGCACGGGGATAAGGTCTTTAATGTAAGTATCGGAGATTAACTCACCAGAACAAAATAGCTCTAGCTCAAGAAAAACCTATTTTTCAGTGCGAATTCTGCACGAAAACGTTCACGCTGAAGAACTACCTGAAGCTGCACGTGAAGCAGGTGCACGAGCAGAACGAGCGGAAGCACGTGTGCAGCTACTGCCAGAAGAGCTTCGCCTACGCCGGAAGTCTGCAGGTATTGCCTTAAATTATCTGACCAAGTTACATCCATTTTTCTAGGTCCACGTACGTACCCATACGGGAGAGCGGCCGTACTCGTGCAAGTTTTGCCCCAAGGCTTTCGCGTCGCAGGGTAATCTACAGTCGCATGAACGTACTCACACCGGAGAGAGGCCGTACGCCTGCAAGCAGTGCGAGCGCACATTTATACAGGTTTGTAATCGATTACACTATTTAAAGGCTTGTCCCAGCAGATTCCCACTTACCGTATATCGACTCCCCACCATCGTACTGTAGTTTGGAAACTTTTTATGCTTAAGAACGTGAAAACAATATACCTAAAAGTACAGGACCAATTTTAACAAAATTTATTTTCGACAATTTTCGCCTGTTATTTTTATTTCCGCCAGGTTCGGAACTGAAAATCGGCCTATTGAAATTTCCCCTGGCAATCGGTTACGCCATCCAAAAAAAAATCCGTTCAGGAAAGCCAGCTGACGGCCCACGAGGCGACGCATAATGGGGAGGGGCAGAGAAGACGCACTCCACCGCTTCATCCACCGCCTCAATCCACCAGCTGCCCATCGGGAGCATACTGTGCTGGGGCTCCAAGCGGTTCTCCTACGCCACCAATTTGTGCGTTTTTCTGATTTTTTATTGCTATATTTCTACTTTTAATCGATTTTATAGCGATTTTATTCATTAAATTTAGATGCCCGTATTGCGGTGTGCAGGCGAGCTTCAGATCCGGCAACGCCCACTCTGGGGATAAGCCGTAAGTTTTTGGGTTTT